TGAATTTTTCCCCATGTTAAACTGAAATAAAATTTAAAAATCAATTAACTTTTTTTTTCTTTTTTTTTTTTTTTTTTCCCTAGTGGCCCTAATCCTCTTCCGTGTTATCTAGATTTAAGTTCCTCTAAAACAAGTTAAATTCTCCGTTTTTGAGGGAGGGTTATGAGATCAACACGGCACAAAAAATGTTAATCTAAATAAGTAATTTATTTCTTCTTACATTGAGAAGGTAAGTAAGAAACATTGCCAATTGAACAAGAGAATTTACATTTATTTCAAGTACATATTTTCAAATTATCTTATTTTTTTGAGTAAAATACTCATTCCATTGGCAAATTATCTTTTTTACCTGCTCGGATTAAGAGTAAATACACTGAATTTAAGAAATGCTTATTTATTTGTAGATAATTTTTACAGTGTTTGATTACAATTAACATTGAGTAGAAAAAATTAAGATGTTCTGCAAATGAAATTAGCATTTTTACCATTAAAATAAGATAATTAAGTGTGTCACTTATCTGCTCAATTGAAGAAAAAAATGCACTATTAGAACTTTTTTCTTTTGCAGTGAACATTCAATGATAACTAAAAAGCTTCTCTTTTCTTAACACTGAGTTCCTCTTAGAGCGGTTTGGGTGAAACTGTGTACGATCACAGCTGTGGAAGCCCATCCAAACATCAGCCCCTCTTTATGTTTGCCCGCTGACCTGAGGAGGGATTTCCTTCTTCCTCGGGTCCTAATCCTTTTGGGCTTCGGTTTCTTTTTGGACTTCAGGGATTTGGGGTTATTCTCTTTTATGGTCACTGATAAAGTTTTCATGTTTCTGTAGCAGTTGGGAATCTTTGGTGGGGAAATGACACCAACTATAACCTCAGGAAACGACATAAAGTTGTTAAAATGGAAGATACTCCTGGCAGATTTCGATTCATGTTCATTCTTCTAAACGGTTTGTTTCTCAATCAGTAAATAGAAGCCATTATTGGCGTTATAGTTACTAAAATATTCCACTTTGATGAGCTTTAAGTCTTTAAAGTCGGAAGGCCTCCTTGTCATCACCCAAATCATGAACTCTCCCAACAGATTTTTCTTTAAAGATTTAAGTCGGACCTGTGGTTGGGCATCTTTAAAACACCAATATTTCTGTAATAAGAACTTTGTCGCCCTTTAGCTGTGAGTTTTTAGTCCATTGAAATGTTACCCAAGTTGAAGTTTCTCTACTGACTGAGACATTTCTCTACTTTGATGCAGCCTTATACAGTATTAGCCATTCAAAATTTCCCCACTTTCCTTGATGGGTCTTTGGCTGGACCTTGGCTGGTCCTTGGCTGGACCTTGGCTGGACTTTGGCTGGACCTTGGCTGGACCTTGGCTGGACCTTGGCTGGACCTTGGCTGGACCTAGGCTGAACCTAGGCTGGACCTTGGCTGGTCTTTGGCTGGTCTTTGGCTGGTCTTTGGCTGGTCCTTGGCTGGTCTTTGGCTGGACCTTGGCTGATCCTTGGCTGGTCTTTGGCTGGTCTTTGGCTGGACCTTGGCTGGTCTTTGGCTGGTCCTAGGCTGGACCTAGGCTGGACCTAGGCTGGTCTTTGGCTGGACCTTGGCTGGTCCTTGGCTGGTCCTTGGCTGGACCTTGGCTGGTCCTTGGCTGGACCTTGGCTAGTCCTTGGTTGGTCCTTGGCTAGTCCTTGGCTGGTCTTTGGCTGGACCTTGGCTAGTCCTTGGCTAGTCCTTGGCTGGACCTTGGCTAGTCCTTGGCTGGTCCTTGGCTAGTCCTTGGCTGGTCATTGGCTGGACCTTGGTTAGTCCTTGGCTGGACGTTGGCTAGTCCTTGGCTGGTCCTTGGCTAGGCCTTGGCTGGTCCTTGGCTAGTCCTTGGCTGGACGTTGGCTAGTCCTTGGCTGGTCCTTGGCTGGACCTTGGCTAGTCCTTGGCTGGTCCTTGGCTAGTCCTTGGCTGGTCATTGGCTGGACCTTGGTTAGTCCTTGGCTGGACCTTGGCTGATCCTTGGCTGGTCTTTGGCTGGACCTTGTCTGGACCTTGGCTGGTCTTTGGCTGGTCTTTGGCTGGACCTTGGCTGGTCCTTGGCTGGACCTAGGCTGGTCTTTGGCTGATCCTTGGCTGGTCTTTGGCTGGTCTTTGGTTGGTCCTTGGCTGGACCTAGGCTGGTCTTTGGCTGATCCTTGGCTGGTCTTTGGCTGATCCTTGGCTGGACCTAGGCTGGTCTTTGGCTGATCCTTGGCTGGTCTTTGGCTGGTCTTTGGCGGATCCTTGGCTGGACCTAGGCTGGTCTTTGGCTGATCCTTGGCTGGTCCTTGGCTGGTCTTTGGTTGGGCCTTGGCTGGTCTTTGGCTGGACCTTGGCTGGTCCTTGGCTGGACCTTGGCTGATCCTTGGCTGGTCCTTGGCTGGTCTTTGGCTAGATCCTTGGCTGGTCCTTGGCTCAACCTTGGCTGGTCCTTGGCTCAACCTTGGCTGGTCCTTGGCTCAACCTTGGCTGGTCCTTGGCTGGACCTAGGCTGAACCTAGGCTGGACCTAGGCTGGTCTTTGGCTGGACCTTGGCTGGTCCTTTGCTGGACCTAGGCTGGACCTAGACTGGTCTTTGGCTGGTCTTTGGCTGGACTTTGGCTGGTCCTAGGCTGGACCTAGGCTGGACCTAGGCTGGTCTTTGGCTGGACCTTGGCTGGTCCTTGGCTGGTCCTTGGCTGGACCTTGGCTGGTCCTTGGCTGGACCTTGGCTAGTCCTTGGCTAGTCCTTGACTGGTCTTTGGCTGGACCTTGGCTAGTCCTTGGCTGGTCCTTGGCTAGTCCTTGGCCGGTCTTTGGCTGGACCTTGGCTAGTCCTTGGCTGGTCCTTGGCTAGTCCTTAATTAAATAAAAAATATGTATGTTTGACAAGATTTTGTCCTAATTATTGCTGCACTTCAAATGTGTGCTTTTTTAAACAAGATTATTATTTACTATTTCCTGTGCATTTTACAATTTAACCTCTTAATATCCACCTCATTTCGGGGAATTCTCGTCTATTTTGCATACCCAGATGGAAAAGCAAATAACTGAGGAATTGTAAGCCCAAATTACATGTTTGATACATTATTTGAAAGCTAACACCTTCTAGTTTCTAAATATATACATAAAAAGTAGGTGAGTAAAACACTCAAGCTGCATCAGTTCAAAAAAGACTGAAAGTAGTTTTTTTTATTCTCGAAAATAATAAGTCAATTTTGAACAGCAGTTATAAAGACATGCTTGCTTGTTGTGGCTGCCTTGTCATGGTACATATTGACATGCTGCTAAATCTGTGTTAATTGTGCTTTGGTGCTCGCTGTGTCCATAAAATGAACTAGGTGGTTGAATTGTGGAGAGTCTAGCTTTCCAACCATGTCTAACATGTCTTTATTGGTTTACCATTTTACCAGTGTAAGTTTCATGCATTCTGAGTTATTTGTAAACACTTTAAAACAGGTCGCTGGCGACCCGGTGGGTTTTGAGAGGTTAATGGTATATAAAATGTTGAAATTATATATTAGAAAAATAAAGGTCTTTATTTCATGGGACATTTTGGCCTTCCATATCCTTCAGGGATAAACATCAGTGATTGTAAAAACTGTAGTGTGACTCCTGCTTTAGAGCAGGGTTTCATTTATTTTACCCTAGATATGAAGCCACTCAATTATTTTCATTTCAAAATGCTAACATCTTTAAACTAACATTTAACTAATTAATTTAAATCAGATAATAGGTGTTTAATGGCACATTTAATTAATAGTTATGCATTTTTTTTATTTAGTTTTATATTTCCTGTTGCCATGGTCTTCTTTTCCAACAAACATAAAATACCAAAATTTCCAATGAAGGCCGTGGGTGGTAACGGGGGATTTTGTTTTTGTACGCACTTCCAGCTTGACTTAAAAAGCAAAAATAAAAAAAATACTTCAAATGTCTTCGAACTTAGTAGAATTTAATGTTTTAAGCTCCCAAAAAAGTGGTAAAAAAAATCATTTTTCAAAACCTCCCGTCAACACTAGACATTTACCAAACCATCCTCTAACACCTGGTGTGCTAGCCTCGTGAGACCATCCTGATCTCGCGAGCTTTCAAGGTTTCACTATCAGATCAGTCTGGAGACTCTCCATTAAAGAAAATTTGGAGCCGTTCACCAAACGAACGTCCAATCAGCGTTGGCGTTGAGGCGGGTTGAGGTGTGACGCAACGAGAAGCGCGACAGTTGAGTCTAAAGAACATGGCGGCTTCAGCCGATGAAACTAGCGTTAGCATAGCTATCGAGCAAGTTTTATCTGAATTACAGAGTATTTCTTCACTGAAAGAAGAGCAAAACACTGCTCTGGAGGCTTTTCTCAGAGGAAAAGATGTTTTTGCTCTTCTCCCGAATGGTTTCGGCAAGAGTTTGATCTATCAATTGGCTCCTCTTCGTCGTCGCTCTGTTAGTACGTCATATGCTTCGTTGATCTGATTGGTTTATTTGGCCCGTCTATCACCAACATAGGCCAATCAGCTAACCAGTATTTTTGGCCCTTCCCAAAATTACTTCAACGGAAGGTTTCCAGATGGATATGCAGAGCAAATCCATCTGGCGGAGTCAGGTTACTGGTGTGCTCCTAATCACTCAAATTAATGGGACGGTCTAACAATTAAGAACTTACTCCAAACAATTCCAAATGTAAAAAAATAACACATTTTAGTTCTAAATTAATTTAAATATATTTTATATACCAAAAGACAAAAACTAAATTGGTAGAAATAACAAGTTACAACAATTTAGCATAAATGGCCACAACACCTGTTGTGTTGAAAATAAAATAAAACACCTCATCTGTTAAATCAAGTTATTTCATGACACATTTTGCCCTCCATACTCCTCTGGGATCAAATCACAATGATTGGGAAAATCTTTAACTTTGTAATCCTGGAAATTGTTATTAATGTGCTGCTTAAGATTTAGTCATTTGATTTTAATGCCTGCGTTTGTTTTTTATGAACAGGATTGCTTCAAAGGAGGAAGAACCGACCTCCTAACAACAGCCACAACCACCAACACCAGCAGCTTCTCCAAACTCCACAAACCCTCCAAGGACCACAAAGAAAAGCCTTTAAAAGACTTGACAGAGCCCAAAAGTGCCTTTAGAGACTCTGGCTGGGAATCCTCAAAACTCCCCAAAGAATTTTCAAGGAAACCCAAAGAAAATCAGCCACTCAGAGACAGCAACCCTAAGATGGGTTTCAAGGAACCCAAGTCTTTGGCCAAGGATCATCGAAGCGAGGGTCTGGCCCACGGACCCGTGGGGTTGAACAAGCGTCACTCCACATTGGATGGCGATGACCCGATGACCAAAAAACGCAGGAAGGGATACCTTGAACCGTCGGGGAAGCCGACCTCTGGTTCAGACTCTCATTATTCTGACAAGAAGAGATCGCAGACGAGCAAGCCGCGCCACGACCCGGACGAAGCCGAGCGCAGGAAGGCGTCCAGGCTCCCGCCGTTCCAGGAGCTAGTGGACCCCAACGACTCGGACATGGAGGATCAGTCCAAATCCGATGTAAGTAGATGACGTTGGAAACGGCACCTTCACTTGTAGGGAAACTCAATAGGCAGAACATGCTGGCGGTCAGAGATTCTGTGCTGTGAGGGGTTCCTGTGGATCCTCACAGGAAAAGTCTGTTCAGCAAGAAATCATCATTAATTATACTGAAAACGAATACATTTGGGTTGAATTTAGCGTTTATCTGTAAAAAAAATAAAAAAAATAATTTTGTTGTTTTTTTTTTTCCGTAATGAGGTGAGAGAGATACGCTGCGCTGACCTGCTCTGTCTGCTCCTCCTTATTTTGGTTTTGTGAGGCTCAAAGAGGATCACTACTTTATCTCACTACTTTCCTCCTGAACTCCTATCATGGGGAAAGTTTTCTTTTTTAATGTTTCAATCATTGTTTTTTTCACCAGTCTGTCCTGCTTACTATAAATGCGATGTGCGACTCTAAACTGACTCTTTCCAGTGAGATTAACAGATTTTATCTTGTATTTTCCCCCAAAGCGGATGTGTTTTACTTTGCAACCGCGTCTCTCTTCCTGTCAGACCCATGAAATTGCTGCTGAATTGCTGCGTAGTCCAACTGAAATATTCAGTTCGATACAGTTTATTTCTATAGCGCCATTCACAAAACATGTCATCTCAAGGCACTTTCCAGTTCACCAGATCATCCAGTCAGATTCATTCAAAGTTTTCTATCTAAGGAAAACCAGCTGATTGCATCGACTCATTGACTCTTCAGCAATCCCTCACACTAAGCATGCTTGTAGCGACAGTGGAGAGGAAAAACTCCCTTTTAACAGCAAGAAACCTCCAGCAGAACCAGGCTCAGTGTGAGCGGCCATCTGCTGAGGCCCACTGGGGTTCAAGGAGACAGAAGCAGACATAGAAAAAGAAGCATAGATACAAAAGGCAACTGTCAACCAGCTCCACAGGCGGCCCCGGCCAGGAAACACACAGCCAGGCAGACGAGCTCCGAGCCAGCTCCCATGTCAGAGGATGAAGGGAGCACATCCAGTTAGTCACAGTCAGAGAAACAGGACTACACTGGAAAACAGGCCAAGCTCCAACATCTAGAAACAAAGGTGTTGATGGCAGCAGCACAGCTGATATTTCTCTCCAGGATGGAGTCACAGCCAGACAGGAACAGACCAGATGAAGCTACTATGAGAAAAAGCAGAGAGAGCAGAACGTTAGATTCAACTAACAGATTCTGCAGAGTGGGAGAATAGAGATAGAATGAAGCAGAATGATGAAAAAGGGGTCCCTATGTCCTCCAGCAGTCTAAGCCTATAGCAGCAGAACTATAGAGATAGCTCAGGATAACCTGAGCCACTCTAACTGTAAGCTTTATCAAAAAGGAAAGTTTTAAGCCTAGCCTTAAAAGTCAACAGGGTGTCTGCCTCACAGACTAAACTGGTTTTAGACCAGTTTTGTACTGATATAAGCATAGGGCAGGGCCCTGGTACTGCATTTAAATGGTGGTATCGGTATCGGTGAGTACCAACAAATAGGGCACCGATTGCATTTTGAGAGTCAAAAGTTTCTTCAACTATTGTCACCCATTCCAGGTAGGCAATAAAAAGTTCTACTGGATTCACTTTGTTTTAGTCTTTTTCCTGCTTCACAAAGGTAGGCAGCAGCTTGACATGAAGCCATGATGGCAATTACTTTACATCCAAGTAGTCTGCAGTTCTTCATATATATATATATATATATACACACACACCATTTTCAAACAGATGGTATCGGCCAATACTGCACAGCCAGGTATCGGGTGTCGTAACCAAAAAACGGCACTGGCGCAGCACTGTTTTAGACCTGGAGTTTATCTCAGTTGGAGCTACGAAGCCGCCTGCAGGAAATCTCCATTGACTTTCAGTGAGCACTAAACGCCACAACCTCTAAGGGCTCTGTCACACCTTATCGATTTAGCCAGCGTATGCCTGACGTCAAAGAATCTTGTTAAACGCTGGCATACGCTGAACTTTCCATGTATTCTTTCTGTTTTGAGAGTATACATGGAGTATTCATAACAAGTCCAGAACTTATGTCCAACAACAGCCTAACTTATGCATAATGTAGGGAAGCGTAATGCCCATGAAATGATGCACAAACCACTGTCCTGAGGGGGGCAGCGATGCCCCCGGAGGCGCCTGGTCTGCACAAAAAGATTTCTTTGATCACGGTATTAACCTAGCTGCTGTTTACCGCCTGCCAAAAAATAGAATAAAGAAAAATAAAGAAGGTTTTTGGTGGCAGCAGATTGAGCGTCATGTCTGCTTGGAAGTGTGTTGGTGGTGGGCGTGAACGCAGGGAGGATCCATCACTCACCTTCTGGCTCACCCTATGATGGGGATGAAGTCTGGAGGAGAACTGACGGTTTCCTCCTTTATACCAAAACGCTGCCAATACGCCATTTTACAGTAGCTGGAAGTTAGAAACACGTTCAGCGCTCGTGTGGAACACGTCAGATACATTGATATGTGTTGGAGAGAAGTTTTGGATAAGTTAAGCGGAAGTTATACACAATTTGCTCAGAGGTTTTGGATAAGCTGGACGCCACGACTTATGAGTCACTTACACTTAAGGTGCGTCAACGATCGATAACTTACCTGTAACTTAAGGCCTACGTATGGCATACGCTAACATAAATCAGGAAATTACGTACTTGCCTTATATCGACGTGTGTTTTCAGTGTGCTCATAACTTATCAACATGCAAGTTTTTGCCAGATTTTTCGTATGTCAGGCATACGCCGGTCTAAAACGTCAAAGTGTGACGGGATCGGATCGGATGCAAAATCCGATCCGATCTTTCTTTTTTTTATAAGCTTTCTTCCTATTTGGAAAGTTTTTCAAAATTTGAAGCATTTCTAGGGCTGCTCAGGGGAACAACGGGTAGCACTGCTGCCTTGCAGCAAGAAGGTTCTAGGTTCGATTCCCAGCCTGGAGTCTTTCTGCATAGAGTTAGCATGTTCTCTCTGAGCATTCGTGGGTTCTCTCCGGGTACTCCGGCTTCCTAACCTGATTCCGTGGAAACCTTCCGTTGAAGTAATTTTGGGAAGGGGCGAAAATACTGGTTAGCTGATTGGCCTATGTTGGTGATAGACGGGCCAAATAAACCAATCAGATCAATGAAGCATACGACGTACTAACAGAGCGACGACGAAAACACAACCACAAGCCAGGCTACTCTTGCCGAAACCAGTCGGGAGAAGAGCAAAAACATCTTTTCCTCTGAGAAAAGCCTCCAGAGCAGTGTTTTGCTCTTCTTTCAGTGAAGAAATACTCTGTAATTCCGATAAAACTTGCTCGATAGCCACGCTAATGCTAGTTTCATCGGCTGAAGCCGCCATGTTCTTTAGACTGAACTGTCGCGCTTCTCGTTGGGTCACACCTCAACCCACCTCAAAGCCAACGCTGATTGGACGTTCGTTTGGTGAACGGCTCCAAATTTTCTTTAACGGAAAGTAGCCAGACTGAGATGCGAGCGAGAGATCGCGAGATCAGGATGGTCTCACGAGGCTACCGGCTTCCTCCCACTGTCCAAAAACGTGACCTTTAGGTTAATTGGCTTCTCTAAATTCTCCTTAGGTGTAGGCAGCTGGAGACCAGCAGCCCTCGAGACCCTGCTTGGGATAAACGTCACAGAAAATGGAAGGATGAAACATTCATCCTTTAGGTAAATTTCTCGCAATCAGGTTTTTCTTGTGTTTATTGTGAAGTTGGTGTTTCCTTTTACTTCAAGTGGCATTAAAAATTCTTGAATTTGACTTGCCTCCTGCTGTAGCAACCCTGAATGGGGAAGACGCCATAAAAGCCAGGAAAGTAGGGGGGTGAGGGGCACTGGACACCCAATAAAACCAGTAGGGCTGCAGCTGTATGTGTGGCCGACTGGACACGATGAAAGCAGCATCGGACTGTTAGAAGATGCTGTTTGCCTTTGTGGCTTTATTTCAGCCCCCCCCCCCCCCCCCCCCCCCCCCCCCCCCCACACACACACACACACACACGACGTCTCTTTTCATCAGCAGGACGCCGTTTGACTGGGGTTGCCTGGTCCACACACATTTGGTGGAGAAGCTCTCCGTAAAGAAAGGCTGCAATCAAGTCAAATAGCAGACAAGAAAGAGATTTATGGTTTTACAACACCTGAGGAGAAAAGAGCCTTGAATGCAGGCAACTGAGTTTGCCTTTAATCTTTTTTCAGAGTGTGCGTCGGATCCCCAGCTCTCTGAATAGTTTGCTTTATGTTTTATTTCTATTTTAAATTGCCTGAGAGGAAAGTAGGGGGGGGGGGTTCTTTTGTGCATGTTTCTTTGTAGGAGCAGCTTCTTTAAGCAGGGATGGTATTAACTATGAACAGAACCCATGTTTCTTTGTCTGCGCTGAACGGAGAAGCCTTTCAACTTTTACCATACAGAGAGCGGGAGGAGGGGGTCATAAAAAAAAGGAAAAAAAAGGATGTGGGGTGACAAATGCCAGGTGTTTGATTCTCCCCAGGCTAACCACCCCGGTGGGCGAGCAGCGCACCGTCGCTCTCGTTTGTCATGTGACCAGTTGTTTGATCTCTGTGTTGTTGTTTTTTTTTTCCTCTGCCTGAAACCAAATCCCAGGGGAGGAAATGGGAAGTTGGCAACGAGGAGACTGGATGATGTCACCTACGGTTTGTTTAAACCTGAGTAGTCAACATTTTAGGTTCATATTTATATTATCATGACAGCTTTGGCTCTTACTAGCTGATTTTAAATCACAAATATTTTCCTGTTTTATTGTTAAAAATTCCTGCACTAGAGCAGAGATCATGGATTAGCGGATCGGACCCACCTGCTGGTTAAAACATTTACAAATTACAGCATGTTGTCCGTCGGCAGTGTCTAATTTGACATGCTCCTCTTCTCCTGTTAATACGGTAAAGCCCTCGGGAGCGTCCGGCTCCAGGCTGCACGTGATCCAAATAAGCCAATGAGCTGTCAGTCTGGGTTGCTGCTGCTGCTACTTTTAGACA